ACGTAGAGCTAATTGAATTTATCTTCGAGTTAACATTATTATATTCTTCAATAAAACCTAGGATTATTTTTTATTTATGATTTGATGAATTAATATATTATAATAAGTATTTATAAATTATTAATAAAATGATATTTATTTATTTGATTCGATCTTATAAAAAAAAAATCAAGATGTAATGCCTAATTAATTCATCAAATTTGGAACAAGAAGGAGGAAGTCTATCTAACAAACGAGAGATTTGATCTGATTTAGAAAAGATAGTTTCAATTCTATGAATTTGATAGATAAAATTTTGAAATTATAAATTTTATTGATGGATAAATGATGTATCTTTTAAAACTTGTCAATTTTTCTTATTTTTATAGGTTTTATAATGGTCATCTAAAAGGCCATTAAAAATTCTAAACCTACATAGCTTTTCAATTTCTCCATAAGATTTTTCAAGATAAGTAGATTTAGAAGGATTTAAAAAGAGAGGTCATTTTTCAACAATAAAAATCATGCCAGAATTATCAACCAAGTATATAATTGTTTAAGAGAAAGCCATTCTCATTAAATTTCTCAAGTCTAAGCAACATGAAATCATCTAAAATCATTATAAGGATTAAGGTTGAAAGAATAAAACAGATACATAAAATTTAAAAGTCCTTGTGATTACAAATATTAATTTAATGGAGTAGAAAGTTAAATTGAGTAGATTTTTTATTTCATCCTTTAAACTATTTATTATGATGTTTGTTTAGGACAAACAGATATCATTTAATAATAATCTAACATAATATAAATATAAATATAATTGTATCACAATTAACAAATACTATTTATTAAATTATTATTATTTTTTAAAATAAGTAACATTGATGTGTACAGAATAAAGGAATACTATTAAAGTTATTTTCTCTTTAATATAAATCTAAAAGTATAAAACGAAGGTATAGGTCAAATTATTAATTTTTACAGTTAAATAAATGATGAAATAATTATGCAACTACTATAATAATAATGATTTTTTTAATAGATTAATAAAATAATGATTAAATAATTACAACAGAAATAATAATATCACTTATAAAATATTTATTTCACAATGCTAATCCAATAATTAAATTAAATTACTTAACAAATATCAAATACTTACAGAAGGATTAACATGAATAAATATATCCTTTTTTTCTAGTTAGCACCTTGTATAATTTTAATAGGAGGGAGAGTATATTTAAAATATTCGAATATTAATATTAAAATAATTTTTGATTAAATCAAAACAGGTTAAATATGTAAAAAATTAAAATAGAAAATTTAGAAAATGAGTGCAGTATGCATTCATTCAGATACGACCAACTAGTCAGGACCTACACAGCCAATCTACACATTGGGGAACGATAAGATCACACCTACTCCTATCCAAGCTATGCATTGGAGACAATCTTCTTCATCTCGTTTTGCTGAGAATTGTTTCTTGTAAGGCTGAATTCCATGATAAAATAAAAAATATTTTATGATTCAATTTTCTTTTCTATTACATTAAATGACTCACAAGAAGTCATATATAAACTCCAACCACTTATCACTTACATAATAATATGATAACTAATTGGATATCTTTAAGAAAAACTTATGATTCGTGTCTCATTTCGCAGTCAACTAAATTTCATTCTTAATAAAGAATACATAATGATTTTCATTAATATTACAATGCATTTTTATATAATTTATAGAAAAAACAATCTAAAATAAC